CATTTGGGACCTGTTTCTTTGTCTCCTCATTTTGGCTGCCTCCCTGTGTTTGTTTCTGTGTATTACTTAATGAGAGGTATCAGGCTAGCTAAGACCAGATGCTGCTTGATTGAAGGATTTTAGGAAAACCTGAAGCAGGATCCAAGACAGGCCAATCCTATGGTAAAGTCTTTGGAAACAGCTAGGGTGGGCCCAAAAACTGGGTGGGGCGGAGCCTCAGGGAGTCAGCAGGGCGTGGCTACCAGTGTGAGCCAGGTTGCTGGAGTCCCAGATATGGCCCCTGACTGTGGCCCCAGGGAAGGGCTCAACAAAGGAACAAAGGCCTCTGGCAGCACATCTGTTCTGGAAAAAGCCCCCTCTCCAGCCCTTGCTCCAATGCCAAACAACTCAGTTCTTCCCCATATGTCTCTGGTGCCTTTCAATCTGCCTCCCCCCTGCTGGAGCCTGGAGGGTGTGAGTCAGAGTAAGTCCATGTGCAGGCTCTTTAAGAGATGCTGCCTGGGGCTCCAGCCACCTCATCCTCCCTGAGCCTCAGTTCCCGCTGGTTTGTCCAGCCAGAAGATATGGGACTTCTCTTCCTGGCACTGGAACCCTGACCTGGGTGCCTGGTGTGGGATGGGGACCCCTTAGTCCTCAGGGAGGACCTTCCCAGCCAAGGTATTTTAAAATTTTTATCTGCCACACATAGGTGTGGGGCCAGCCCGTTGCGCCTCCGCCCCTCCTACCAGTCTTGATGTGGCTGCTTCTTTAATTCCGTAGTTGTAGGACTTCCATTCAGCTTGATTTCAGACGGTTTTCAATGATGGCTGTTCTGTAGTTTAGGTGTAACTTTGATGTGGTTATGCGAGGATGCGATACTGCGTTTACCTATGCCGCCATCTTGTTTTTTGTTTTTTAATATGATTTTTTTATTGATTTCAGAGAGAGAAAGGGAAAGAGAGACAGAAACATCAATGAGAGAAACATTGATCTGCTGCCGCCTGCCTGCCCCCTACTGAGAATTGAGCCTGCAACCCAGGCATGTTCCCTTACTGGGAATTGAACTTGCAACCTTTTGGTGTATGGGACGACGCTCAACCAACAGCCACACTAGCCAGGCTTCCCCTGTTTTGTTTTGTTTGTTTGTTTTTATGGTATGTACTCCTAGCGGAAACTGAACCTAGGACTCCCTGGTCCGCAGGCCAGTACTTCAGCCACTGAGCCAAACTGACCAGGGCTTGTTTTGTTTTTTAAAGACTTTTAGTTTTAGCTCTTACACTTAGGTTTTTAATCCATTTTGATGTAATTTTTGTATATGGCATAAGGTAAGGGTCCAACTTCACTTTTTTACATGTGGATATATGGTTTTCCCAACATCATTGAAAAGACTGTCCTTTCCTCATTACATGGTCTTGGCACCCTTGTCAAAAATCCTTTGGCCATAATGTGTGAGGGTTTATTTCTGGGCTCTCTATTTCATTACATTGATTTATATGTCTATCTTTATTCCAGTACTACACTGGGATTTTTTTCAATTGTGGTAAAATATATATAATATAATTTATCATTTTAACCATTTTTAAATGTCCAGTTCAATGGCATTAAGAACATTCACATTTCACGGTTTGGCTCAGCAGTTAGAGCATCAGCCTATGGACCAAAGAGTCACAGGTTCGATTCCAGTCAAGGGCACATACCTTGATTAGAGTTTGGTCTCCCACCCTGGTTGGGGTCGTATGGCAGGCAACCAGTCAATGTATCTCTCTCACATTGATGTTTCTCTCTCTATCTATCTCTATCTCTTTCTCCCACTCTATCTGAAAATAAATGGAAAAATATCCTCAGGTGAGGATTAAAAAATAAATATATAAAAAAGTTAAAAAAAAAAGAACATTCACATTGTTGTGCAACCATTACCACCAAGCCTTTGTGTTTTTTTATATTTTCACAGTATTCCATCGCATATATACATTATAACTTATTTACCAGTCTTCTAGGAATGAACACTAAGGTTGTTTTTAGTCTTTTGCTATTACAAGTAATGCTATCACAAATAATCTAATATAAAAGTCATGTTTGCTTGTGTGAGAATTTCAATAGAACAAATTCTGGAGTTGTAATTTTTGTAAAATTGACAAACTGCCTTTCATAGAGGTTTATTAATTTACCATCAGTATATTAGCTTTAAAAAAAAAACTTTTCCTACTTGATAGGTAAAGAATATTCTAAATGTTGTTTGAATTTTCATTTTGAGTTTGAACATCTTTTTTATTTGTTTAAGGACCATTTGGTATTCTTTTCTGTGAACTGTATGTTTATATTCATGCCTATTTTTCTATTTTGTTGTTTCTCATTTTCTTATTAATTTGTAAGAGTTCTTTATATTTTAGGGGGAAATTAGCCATTTGTCTATAATATAAGATGCAAATATCTCTTGTTGCTTGACTTACAGCACTTGTAATTCCATTTTCTTTTTTTTATCATCCTCACCCGAGGACCTTTTTCCATTTCTTGTTCAGGTAGAGTGGGAGGGAGAGAGAGGAACAGAGAAAGAGAGAAACATCGATGTGAAAGGGACACATCGAGTGGTCGCCACCCGCACAACCAACCAGGGCTGGGGACAAACTGCAACCAAAGTACATGCCCTTAGTGGGAACTGAACCCGGGTCTCTCTGGACCGCAGGCCGATGCTCTAACCGCTGAGCCAAACCGGCCAGGGCTAATTCCATTTTCTTTCATCATTTATTTATGGTCAATGAAAGCCCTGATTTTTGGAAGTTTTTTTACCCTATTCTGTAGGAAGCTCTGCCCAGTTACAGAGTAACTGGTGAGTGAGTCTTATTAATATCTGATTTTTAAAATTTAAACAGTGAGCCCTAGCTGGTTTTCTCAGTGGTTAGAGTATCAGCCCACGGAACAGGGACTCCCGGGTTCAGTTCCCACTAAGGGCATGTACCTTAGATGCAGTTCATCCCCAGCCCTGGTTCGGATTGTGCGGGTGGCAACCAGTCAATGTTTCTCTCTGTCTCTTCCTCCCTCTCTATCTGAAGATAAATGCAAATATATATATATATATATCTCCTCGGGTGATGATTGAGAAAAAAATTTAAACAGTGATAGGAGTGGAATAGTCATTTAATTTTGTAGGTGAGACCAGGAAATGAAGTGATATAACCCAGGTTACATAGCAGATAAGCAATGGTGCCAGAATCAAGATTTTTTTCTGGCTTCCATTTCTTTCTTTCTTTTTTTTAACATTTTTTTTTTTTTTATCCTCACCTGAGTACATTTTTTCCATGTTTTGTTCAGATAGAGTGGGAGGGAGAGAGAGAGAGAAGCATCTACATGAAAGGGACACATCAAGTGGTTGCCACCTGCACGACCCAACCAGGGCCGGGGACAAACAGCAACCAAGGTACATGCCCTTCGCGGGAACCGAACCTGGGTTTCTCTGGACCGCAGGCCAATGCTCTAACCGCTGAGCCAAACCGGCCAGGGCTGGCTTCCATTTCTTATGACGTTTTCTATTTAACACACATACTAAGGAAGTTCTGAGCTTCTGATGGTGTTAATGAACTGAACATTGGTTTTGGTAGAGGAATGGGCCCTTTCCCATTAGCCTCCTTTTCCTTCCCCACATGTCTTGTGAATTCTTCCCTAAGACAGAGAAAACGCAGCCCTTTGAACATATCCTTTTCTGGGGTTGGATTGGTGCTGAGTTCTAGGCATGCAGGCCCAAGGAGAGGCACATGGTGAGGATTCTCCAAGTGATGGTGCTACCTTCAATGCTTGACCCAGAGGCTCTAAGGTGGTTCTGGGTGGTCTTGTAGATTTGCTGCCTCCTGGTCTTCCCAGGCCTCCTTTGTCTTTGAATGGAGAAAACCTGATCCCCCATGAAAAACCTTGGGACTCATTTGTTTCTCAGGAATTTTCTGAGCCAAGTAATAAAAGTGATCAAATAAAGTGATAAAAGTAATAATTTGTGTAATAATGAATAATAAAGTATATATGCCTATTTATCAAATCTAACATGCCATTGACTATAGGCTGTGACACTATTTTATGCATTACTATGAAAAATACTGCTAATCAAAAGGACCAATGCTTGCTTAATACATACACTCACATGTCACTCTTATATGTACATTAAAAAAGTAAAATAATTTTTCTTTAAATGCCAAATTATAGTGTAATCTCTGAAGATATTTTAAGTTGCATTTAGAACAGCCAGTGTGGCTCAGTGGCTGAACATCGACCCTGCACCAAGAGGTCGCTGGTTTGATTCTTGGTCAGGGCACATGCCCAGGTTATGGGCCAAATCCCCAGTGGGGGGCATGGAGGAGGTGGCCAAGTGATGTTCTCTTTCTTCAATGTTTCCATTTCTCCCTACCTCTCCTTTTCTCTCTCTCTAAAAATCAATAAAGAAAAAAATAAGTAAAAAACATGTGTAGTACCATCAAATACATTTAACTGACACAAAGTGACAATAGCAATATTTAGACCAGATTCACACATGTACAGGCAGTGTGACTACTTCTGGTTTGACAAGAATTGAAGATTTCAGAGGCATTAATTTGGGGGAAATGTACATACTAGGATTAATGCAATGCTATATCCTTTGACTAATCCCAGGGCAGTTTTACACACGTGATCTCATTCAGTCTTCCCAACAATCCAGAAAGTAGCTATATAAAGTCATTTTCTAGATAAGAAAACTGAGGCTTACAAAGGTTAAGTGACTTGCCAGAAATCATAGTTAATAAGTGATGAAACTGAGACTAAAACCCCAGACTTTCTTTCAGCATTTGGCCTCATCAACTTGAGTATTTGTTGCATCAGAGCAGAAGACAGGAACAGCACAAGAAGTGAGGGCTGCTCTGGTTCTCGGCTTCTTCTGATAGAGTTGTTAAAGACAGTTGCTGTCAGATATAAGTTTGCAGAAGTAGTTTTCTTAAAGATTGAAATAGTAAAAATATAAGTTTTAATTTGAGAACATTCTCTTTTTCCCTTCTTCTCTGAAGGTACCAGAAAGCCGCTGAAGAAGCCAATGCGGAAAAGAGGAGAAATGTAAGTATTCAGAATCCCAGGGCATGTGGAACTTCAGGAGCAGAGCCTACATGGCCCAGCCACCTGCAGCCTCTGTGGGGCTCGGGCTCCATGTCAGCTGAGCCGAGCTTTTGTGCCAACTGGTCTGATTTGTGAGCCAATTGCTCAGGAGAATTTGGCTTAGGTGTAGGGTATCTTATTTTTTCACAGGCATTCTCCTTTTGAACCACTTTTTCTTTCCTGAGTTGAGTGAAGGACAGAAGAAGGCCAAGTGCTTTGCCTGAGGTTAGTAAAATGGCTTACTACTTCTGCTCAAATTAGAATACAGGGCTTCCTAGGCTGCCATCCTTTTTTCCAAATCAAACAACCAGAATTTCTGTATCTCTGCATTTAAGTGGTAGCTATGCCGCTGTTGTCATGTTCTGGGTTCTTTGTTTAAAACAAACTTCTTGACCCAGTCTAGTAAGCAAGTTTCTTAGCTGCAGGATCCATCAGAGACTAAAACCTCAGAATAAGCTCTCTGCTCATACCCATTCTTTTTTTTTTAATCCTCACTCGAGGACATTTTTTTATTTTTTGTTCAGATAGAGCGGGAAGGAGAGAGAGAGAGAGAGAGAGAGAAACATCGATGTGAAAGGGACACATCGAGTGGCTGCCACCCACACGACCCAACCAGGGCCAGGGACAAACTGCAACTGAGGTACATGCCCTTAGCAGGAACCGAACCCCGGTCTCTCTGGACCGCAGGCCAATGCTCTAACCGCTGAACCAAACTGGCCAGGGCTCATACCTATTCTTGATTCTCCTTGTTGGCTAACATCAAGTGGGCTGCATGGTGTATGTCTTTTGAAATCTTACTGATTTGATCTTATCAAGGGGAAAAAATAACTCACATATTTGTGCAAGAATTCTTTAATTTGGCTGGCATTACAAAAACATTCTCCTGGCAATTTTCAGTACCTAACCTATTTAAATTAGTGTATACCATGCCCCAGTCAATTTGGTCTCACTAAGGAAGGCAATGCTAAATGGGTCCTTTGTTTAATTTACCTGTAATTCAAAAAGGATCCCCTTGGTGCATTGTAAGAAAAAGCTACCATCATTTCACTCAAAATACTGGGTTTTTTTCTTTATTCCTTCTCTCTCCCTTGCCTGTTATTATCACCCTTCTTCCATCCTTCCTTCTTTCCTTTCACTCATTCATTTAACAGGTATTCACAGAGCACCTTCTATGTGCCAAGCCCTGTTTTAGGCATTCATAGACTACCTCTTTGCCACTGTGGGGTTTACATTCTAGTGGGAGTGACAGACAAATAAAGATATTGTATCAGGTGATGATTAGAGCTATGAAACACGTGCATCAGGTAAGAGAGACAGAGTGTAGAGTGTTCAAAGAAAGCCTCTAATAGCAAGACATTTGAGCAGAGATCTGAGGACATGAGCCAGGAAGAAGAATGATTCAGGCAAAAGATAAGAACTCATACAAATACCCTGAGGTAGAAACATTCTTAGTGTGCTTGGGAAAAGGGGAGAACAAGGTGATATAGGGTCATTGAGAGGACCTAGACTTTAACCCTGATTGAAGGTTTAACCCTTTGGAGGGTTTCTGTGCAAAGGAGTGATGTGATCTGATTTAAATTTTAAAAAGGGGAGAGACTGGAGCTAAAATGGCAGAAACACAGAGACCAATTATAAGACAATAGCAGTGATTTAGGAAAGAGATGATAATGGATTGGACTGGAGTAGTAACCATATAGGTGATGAGCAGTGGTCAGGATTCATACTGAAGGTAAAGAGAAAGAGAAGAATCAAGAATAACAGCAATGTCCTGGCTGGTTTGGCTCAGCGGCTGGAGCCTCTGCCTGAGGACCGAAGGGTCACAGGTTCAATTCCCAGTCTGGGGCACATGCCTGGGTTTCAGGCTTGATCCCTGGTGGGTGTCATGTGGGAGGCAGCCAATTGATGTATCCCTCTCTCCCTTCCACTATATCTAAAGGTCAATGGAAAAATATCCTCAGGTGAGGATTTAAAAAAAGAGAGAGAAAAAAAGAATTGTAACAGTGTTTTTGGACCAAACACCTCAGGAAATGCCATTAATTGAGATGAGGAAATCTGTAGTGAAAAGCAGGTTTAGAGTAGGAGAAATATTAGAAGCTCAACTGTGGACTCATTAAATATAAAAATTTTACTAAGATACTAATTGGATATGTCAAATAGAAACTTGGATGTACAAATCTAGAATTGAATAGATCTAGGTTGGAGATGAGATGAGATATGTATCAAAGTGTCAGTTGTATTTAAAGACAGTGAGATGCATTAGATTACCTAGGAAGTGAGTGTAGCTAGAGAAAAGGTCTGAGGTCTGAGCTCAAGGTCACCTTGGTATATGAAGGTAGGAGAGAAAAGGAAGAACTAGGAAAGGAAATTAAAAGAGAGCAACTGGTGAAATAGCAGTGAAACAAAAGAATGTCAGAAGTCAAGTGAATAAAGTGTTTTCAAAAGGAGAGTTCTCAACAGAGTCAAACACACAGATAGGCTAACAACTGACTGTTGAATTTGGCAACATGAAGGTCATTGGTCATCTTGTGCTGTTTGGGAGTGATGAGATAAAGGCCTGATTCGACTAGGTTCAAGACCGTAGGATGACAGAAGTTGACACCATGAGTGTAGACAAACATTTATGGAGCATCTCTTTAGTACCAGGTACTGAAGACACAGAAATAAGATGTAGTCCCTGCCTTCAAGGGACTGTTCAGAGTTTGGAAAATAGAATTTATAATCCCAGCATGGTAAGTATCATGTTAAAGAAATATTCAAAGTGCTGTGGTTGAATTTAGAAGAGACTCATAACCTGGGCTATGCCATGTCAAGGAAGGCTTCCCAGAAGTGGTGCCTGACTGAGCCCAAAGGACAAATTGGAATTAGCTTTAAAAGGAGGGAGAAGGAGTAGCAGAGGAAGCAGCACATGTACAACATGGAGGTATAAGAATAGAGTAGGCACCTTTGACAGTTGAAAAGATAATTGTCACATTCACCAAAATGGAGAATTTGGGAAAAGAAACAAATTAGGCAAGTCCGGTGTGGCTCAATTGGTAGAGCATCATCCCATGCACCAAAAGGTCACTGGTTCAATTCCTGGTCAGGGCATATGCCCAGGTTATGGGTTTGATCCCTGATCAGGATGCATGCAGAAGGCAACCAATCGATGTTTCTCTCTTACATTGATGTTTCTCTCTCTCTCCTTCCCCCTTCCTCTCTCTCTAAAATCAATAAAAATATTTTTTGAAAAGAGTAAAAGAAATCCAAAAACATTAAAGGTAAGGAATGAAAAGAAGAGAGGGAAGACTTCAGCCTTAGACAAGGATAAGTGTAAGATGCCTGTAGGATTTCCAGGGAAATTAATAGGTAAGGAAAGATATCTGGCTAGAGTTATTGGTTATGAGTCATCAATAGACAGCAGGTGGGTGAAACCAGATAATCTACTGAGAATATGTACAGAGAGCAAAGAAGAGGACCTAAGACAGAGCTTTGAGGGACCCACTGCAGAAGGGAGGAACAGAGGAAAAGAAACAGGAGTGGTCAGAGAAATGAGAAGAAGTCTAGGAAAAGGGGGTATCATATACACCATGGAAGGAAGGAATTTTTAAAAGCCAGGAGTAGTTAGTAATATCAAATGCTATAGAAAGATCAAATAAAATAAAGCAGAAGTGTCCATTGCACTTGGCAATTAAGATAAAAGGGCATAAACAGGTAATTAAAGAAAAAACGATAAACATGAAAAATATATTGCTAATAATCAAAGAAATGTAAATTAAGGGAATTATGAAATATAAATTATAATCTACACAGTTGACAAATTTTTTTAATGGATAATATTAAATATGTGAGGAAATATGAACTCATACACTGTTAGTGAGAAGTCAGTTAGGCAATACTTATTAAAATATTAAATATATTTTATACCCATTGATCCAGCATTTCTACTTTAAAGATTTATCATTGATAAAAAATCACAAATGAAATAAAATAAACTTAAAAGGACACTTATTACAGGATTTTTTGTATTACTAAAAATTTGAAATAATGCAGATATTCATCAGTGGGGGAATGGTAAACTATGGTACATACATTCAGTATAGTAGTATATTGTGTTGTATATTATAATATATATAGTATTGTACTGTATGGTTAAGATTTCATGTATTGACATGGACAAAATATCAAAAACACATTAAGTGATTAAAGCAAGGTGCAGAACAGTAAGTATAGTATGATTTTATAGAAAAAATGTAGTGTGTAAAAATAGGGGGGAAATTAGAGTGTATGCACCAAACTGTTGACAGTGGATATATATCTTGGTTGGGATGGGTCGGGGGTATCAAATGGGGAAAAGTATAGCATATATTCAAGACATGTATACATTCCTATATTGATTGTGACATTTTCCTCCCAATAAGTTTTTTCATTACTTTTCTAATTGAGAAAAATAAGGTAACAGCCCGGCTGGTGGCGCTCAGTGGTTGAGCATAAACCCATGAACCAGGAGCTTGCCTGGTCAGGGCACATGCCCAGGTTGTGGGCCCCATCCCCAGTGTGGGGTGTGCAGCAGGCAGCCAATCTATGTTCTATCTCATTGATGTCTCTAACTCTCTCTCCCCTCTCTCTTCCTCTCTCTCTAAATATCAAAGAAAAAATAAACATTTTTAAAAAGGTGTGCTAACTTATGTACAAAAACAATGGACAGTACTTGCTTAAGGCAAAAATAAACATTTAAAAATAAATAAATAAAAATAATAAAATATCCCTGGCCGGTTTGGCTCAGCGGTTGGAGCTTGGCCAGAGGACCAAAAGGTTGTGGGTTCAGTTCCCAGTCAAAGGCACGTGCCTGGATTGTGGGTTCCATCCCCAGCCAATCCATGTGTCTGTTTCACATCAATGTTTCTCTTTCTCCCTCCCTCCCTTCCACTCTATCTAAAAAAACAGTGGAAAAAAAAAAATCCCCAGGTTGAGGATTAACAAAA